ACGGCCAACTGCAGATTCCATAAACGACCTCTCACTGACTTCAGTTGATACCTTTTACTCCTGAGCCAGATGTGGCTGCACCTACTCTGCATGAACGCTGTTTGTCGAAGCATTTTCATACGAATTCTCTATTTCTGTATCTGTTCTGAAATTGTAATTGGAATACAGTTTACTCACTGTCTGAAGACACAGACTTGAACAGTGATGTGCTTATAGCACCTTACTGCTAAAAGATAATAGGTAGATAGATAGATAGATAGATAGATAGATAGATAGATCACAGATAACAAATTCTTCAGGACAGAATGTGAATATGCTGGACATGCATAGGATTTAGATCAATTTTATAAGCAACAGGCTAAAGCTATGCTTTACTCTTGGTGTGTTGCTAAAACAGATTTGGCCTGAGCTGTTTGAGCTCTAGTGTCTGGATTCATTATAGCTTGATGCATTTATTTTCTTGTCCCTATGAGTGTTGCTGGAATTGGACTAAAATAATCTATTATATGTTTGAAAAGTGTTAGTTTAAAACCATTACCAATAGGTTGTTGTTGAGAATGTATTACTTATTATATGTGAGTGTATTTATAAACATTAATAAATGCAATTTCAAAAAAAATTGTGCCTACTTGGAAATTCTGAGCATTTATCATAATTTGTGATTAAATGAAAAAAGTAGAGATACCCCATTATGGGAGCTATAGGCTAATATTTCTTGTTTATTATGTGCATATCTGCAGATGATGATACATACACACATATAAAATGTAGAAACTGGGATTAGATCTATTTGGATTACATTTCTCTACAGTGCTAATATGGATTAGGTTACAAATGCAGTAAAATTAATAAAATGCTGACATATTACTGCAAGTAAACACTGATCTTCTAAATTTAAATAAATACATCAACAAGTATTGGTATTAAAATATCAATCAAATCTAAACATCTTTTTGATCATTTTTACACAGTTGTCTGCTGATTCCAATATGACTTCAGTATGATTGCTCATGCCTAAAACATTACTGAAACATTTGGTTCCATAAATACATCTTAATAAACATTAAACAACAATACAGCTTAACAAACATAAAAACAGCTTAATAAACATTAACACAGCTTAATAAACAACAGTACATCTCAATAAACATTAATGCATCTTAATAAATCTTAATACATTTTAATAAACATTAATGCAGCGTAATAAACATTAATCCGTCTTAATAAATCTTAATACATTGTAATAAACATTAATACCGCGTAATAAACATTAATACATACAGTTTAATAGGCATGAATACATCTTAATAAACTTGAATACCGAGTAATAAACATTATTACGTCTTAATAAACATCAATACAGCTTAATTAACATTATTACATGTAAGTAAATCAGCAAAACGTGCCTGGCTTAACTGCCTTTACACCCTTCAGTGATTGACAGGTCTTTTATCAGCGCCTCTGGGTGAAATGCAATGCATTTCTTACAGTAATGAACAGACCCCCCACACACACACACACACACACTCCCCCTTCAGTTTAATGAATGCGGCTACCTGCAGAGTATAATTAACGCCCATGGAGAAGAGAACAGAAAGGGATTAACCCCCCTATTACGCCAAGGTGGTTCGCAGACCCATAATCCTTCACTCCGCCGACTGAATTCACATGGAAACGTGGGCCTACATGTCAATGGCGACCCCGAGGTTTAAGAACACAGGTTTAACAACACAGAGGTTTTCGCCATTGTCCAGGAGAGAGCCCCCCTCCTCCCTCCGCTAATGAACTTATTTAAATGGGATTAGTGCCTGTGAGGTCCCCTGAGGCGAGCTCACTGCTGACCAACCCCAGAGGAAATATGAAAGAATCCTCCGAGCCGAGCAGCCACGAGGAACATAGCGTTTCCGCGCGCGCGCGCGCACACACACACACACACACACACACACAAGTCTCTCAAGCTCATTGTATCCTGTAGAGCAGGTAGGCGCTGCTGCTCAGAGCTGCTGACTCCCCGTTTCAATCTACCTGGTGAGAAGCGGCTGAAGCTGCGAGCGGAGCTGAGAGCAGGTTTGGTTTGAGCTGCGGTAGAGAAGATACGGCACCGCTGAGCTCAGCGCGGACAGAGTGCAGGTCTGTTGGACGCTCCGCACTGTCCTGCTCTCTCTGTGCGTTAAGGCCGTTGTTTGTGGCTCGTGTTCACACCTCCTCAGTGTAATGAGCTGTTCAGCGCCGCTGATAACACTGTGTGTTAAATCCAATTCTCATGCTTATCATCCCATTACCTAAACTAACATCTCCACAAACACCAGCTTTTCGCACGTGTGACGTAGAGCCGGACTAAAGCAACTCAACATGTTCAAAGTCAGTATTTTTTGTTATTATTATTATTATTATTATTATTATTATTATTACTCAGTGTCCGGAAGATGGAGCTAAACATCTCATCTATATTTCTGCGTGCTACATATGGACTGCAAAGCTGCAAAGGATGTATACAAAAAACCCACGATGACACCTTAATGGTTGTCTATGTTATTAACAGTGTAATAAAGTAGGGTTTGGGTGAGTGGCTTCTTGCTCTACTGTGTAAAAATATAAAAAAAATATACAAAAATATTAATATATGGGGGGTTTAACTTTAAAAGGTTAGTTACTTCAAATAATAAGCTAATAAAGCATAAGACACTAATTAATTCTCTGTTAGCTTAATATTAGAACTTCAATTAACTCAAGGTTTACACAGTACATATGTTTCAGTAGACATTTCCAAGTGTAATAACAGTGATGTTTGGCTTAAAGAAAGATTCAGACAAAAACAAAGATATTTCAAAAGAGTATATAATATAATATAATATAATATAATATAATATAATATAAAATGCATAACAGGGTATGGTTACTCTGCTCGACAGATATTTATATTTCTACGGATGATCGAACCGTTCTGTCCGTCACTGTCGTGTACTGACCCTAATGAGGGTGAATGAGAGGACTGTGGACCTTCAGGTTGCTCTGCTGCTGTTTACTCTCCCTGCAGCCCCTTTAGTCACTATAACAGCACCAGTGCTCCTCTCTCTGTTATTACTGTTGCACTTCACCCACACACATTCATTAACCTCACATTAATTCCTCATTTACATTCACTCACCGGTTTGTTTATTTATTTATTATCAATAATATAAGTTAAAATCAACTCATTACATTTTACTCGGTTTGCTCACTGCACAACAGATCAGAACAAAGCAGGAACGTTCTGCAAATAGACAGAAACAGGGACTTTTATTGTTGATTAATATTTATTTGCTGTGTCTTTAAAGTAGACAGTTTTATTTTGGTCGTGTTCGTTTCGGTGACTATTCCAGTCTCACCTCGTCGGAGTTAAACAAAGCTTGAGCCCGTAACGCCATTATTTCATTATTTCTCCCCCTCTCCTCGGGTCTGTTTTTAATTTAGCTTTTTTTACTTCTCCGACCCCAGAGACATAATTACAGACATTCATCTCTCCGAAAGGCAGGAGGGGTCTGCGCAAAGAACAGATCCAGAACAGCGGACGAGATGCTCGACAGCCTTTCAGCATTCATTTAAAAGGGGAACTCCGCCAATTTTTCAAAAGTTTCACATAATTAAATGGCTAAGATGTAGATAAAGTCATTCAGAGTGGTTCTGTGTGAAATGCTCCGTTCTAGAGAAACTTACTGAGTCAGAATTGTTCACAGTGGTGGTGATAGGAACCAGACGTCCGCCTCTAAAAGCTCCCTCACAGAAGGTTATTAAACAATGTTTACGAATATGCTGCTTGGGTAAAACAATGTTTTAGATGGCAGATGGGGTACATGCAGAGTGTCTTACGGCAAAATAGTCCCCAAGAAAACGTATTTTTCAGGTTTCCGACTATTTTACCATCATCAGCATTACGCACAAAGAAGTAGCTTTCTGGTTTTGCATAGTAAATAAAATGGCCCTATTTGTGTTGTAGATATTGTGATCCCTGGTAAATCATCACCACTATAAAGAAATGAAGTCTGGAACTTTCTCCACAACAGACCATTTCATGTCAAACCTCCCTGAATTACTTTGTTTACATCGCAACGACGCAATTATGCATAAAAATGTTTTCAATTGTTTTAAAAATGAAAAATCAGTTCCCCTTTAACTTTGGGGAAATCGATTATAGCACGGTCTGCTATCATATAGCCTACAGCCACAGCCACTAGCACAGCATTGAACTGACAGACTCCTCTAAACTCTCTGCAACGCTGTATTAAAATATACAGCCTACGTTAGGGTGAAAATCCGTAACGGTAGATTTAATGTGAAATATTCCGGTTTTCATCTTTCATTGCACCCACATAGCAAAAACATTTCCAACTAAATGAAGACCATATGAGAAGAGCAGAGCCTCAGGCTACAGGATCGGGGAAAGAAAATTTGATAAGTTAACACAAACACGGATGAACACCCTAATCAAGCCAAGCCCAGACACGAATTTTAAATAGCGTCGACACCGATAAAACCCCTTTTTGTTCTCTTTTTTAAGCTATTACAGAAATATAACCTCATTAGCAACGAATCTCTGTAATCGCCCTGCGGCGGCAGCCGCTGCGTTTCCCCGGCAACACCTCTCAGCGCAAGGTTTGCCGGGAAATGTAGGCCTAGTTGACGCGCTTTCTTAAACCGTTCCAGAAAAGCTCAGCGCTCACTGGTGAGTCAACCGTCACTCACTCTGACGTCACCTTCGTTCCATTTCTCTTGTCTCCACCTGTATTCCGCACTGCTTTACTGCATTGTGTTTTTTTCCCCACCCGTCTAGCGACAAAACGCCGCCCACTCCCGTGCTGCGATTGGTCTACAACAGCACTGCTTGTGAATATGACCTACCAGCCAATCCCAGCGCACATAGGGGCGACGATACCGGCCAATTCCAGCTCAGAGGAGGCGGAGCTTGTGTGAATACGGGTGGGGAAAAAAACACACACACACAGCGGCGCGGAGCCGTTACGAGCCAAGTGTCACCCGCAATCAGCCCTTCAAATGGGGTGGATCTCGAAATCCCACACAGCAGCGATGAAGTCGCGAGCAGAACCGGCGCCGTTACATTAGACCTCGAGGGCTGGAGAGGGAAACAGATCACTTCATTTATTCTGCCTGATCGCAACCACCGTAACCGAGAAGATGAAGCGGCGGAAGGTCGTCGTAGCGGCCGGTTTCTGTCTCTCCTTCTTCCTCGGTACGCTGTTCAATCTGCTCTCCGTGCCAGCGTTCGAGCACCAGCAGCACCAGCAGCTCGGAAAACAACAACAACAGCAGCAGCTGCAGCAGCAGCAGCTCGAGGCGAGTCTCGAGCCCACCACCGCCGCGGCCACCAGCGGCCACGCGCAGCTCCAGTCCTTGCGGCAGCAGATTCGCGCGCGGCTGCGCGAGGCTCTCCGCTACGGGCCGTTCCCCGAGCGCGGCGCGCGGCCGCCGCTCGAGCGCAGGCGCCTCATGGACCTGCAGCGCGCGCAGGAGGAGGAGCGCGAGGAGCGGGAGCACGGGGGCGCGGGGCGGCTCGGCTGCAGCAGCGTGGACGCCGCGAGCGACGTCCGCTTCGTGGGCTCCGGATACACCAAGGCCGTGTACCGCGCCGCGCTCAACGGCAGCTTCGCCGTGGCGCTCAAATCGGTGGACTTCGGCGGTCACGACATGGAGGAGTGCGTGAGGAAGTACGGCTCTGCGGGAGACTGCTACAGACTGGCCTCCGTTAAACTGGTGAAGGAGATGGCGCTGATGGAGAGGCTGCAGCACCCCAACATCCTCAAGGTAAAGCACACAGGATCAACCAGAGCACTGCACTCCTAAAAAAGAGGGTTCCTCAAGGGTTCTTTAGCAAAGACAGTGGTTCTGTATAGAACCACGGACACTCAAATAACCCTGTGCACGGTTAAATGGTTCTTCAGACTGATGGAGAACGTGAACATGGTTCCTTTTTGAAAATGGTGCTATGTAGCACCAAAAGGGGTTCTATATGTAAAGCTTGTAACACTAGCAGAACCCTTTTTGGTGCTATAGAACCATAACACGTTCTCCATCAATCTGAAGAACGGTTTCACCACGCTAACCATTTAAGCATACACATGGTTCTTTGAGTGTTCGTGGTTCTGTATAGAACCATTGTCTTCACTAGAAAACCCTTAAAGAACCATCTTTTTAAGAATGTAGCCGTGAATTAAAGCCTAACATCAGTTTACAATATGAGACCTTTATTAATGCTTTACTCATTATATTAGAGCGCTGTTAGTGTTTTAATTATTCATGAGTCATAGTGTTTTATTAAACATACTAGACCTTTATTAGTCGCTTTATTTATTATATTACAGATTTATGAGTTACATTATTTATTACATTAAAAATACATGACCCAATTCTTTATTAGACTATGTTACAAATCTTTTAGTAACTATATTTATTATATTAAGCATCTATTAGTTGCTTGGTTTGTTGTATTTGAGAAATATTTATTACGTTAAAAATTAATACCCGCTTTTTTATTATAATTCAGATTTTAGTAGCATAGTTAATTGTCTTAAATATCCTGTCATGTATTATATTAAAAGTCTTGTGACATATTTATTTATTGGAGACCTATTAGTGGTTTTATACCATTTTATCTTTTAATTGCTTTGGTAATTATATTCAAAGGCTACTAGTGCTTAAATTATTTTAATATAAATATGTTAATTAATTATGTAATATATTTCTCATTATATGACATAACTGTTAGTTTCTTTGTTTATTGCGTCAGAGCTCTATTAATTAATTTATTGATTTTATTAAAAAGTCTATTGCTCTCTTTATTTATTGTATTAGGAATATATTAGTAGTCATTTTAGTAGTTCAAACTGAGCTAAATAAAATAAATCATTAGAATATTATAGGTTAATATTAGCAGCCGTCTTTGTCTCCTACAAAACAATACAATCACAGTTGGGTTGTGCTAAGGCTGGGAAAGTGATCACAGCATCCTTAATCACTCTTTTTTTTAGCTGATTGCTGAATCAGCATCTGTAGTGTGAACATTTACTCACAGCGTGTCAGATTTAGCGCCTTTATTTAGTTTCCCCACTCCAGCAGTGCAGCACCCTGCATCATCTACAGCCTCTCAGCTGCCTCAGCCGAGCCTTAACGGCACTGCTCATGGAGGCTGACTGGTGTAGCAGGACTGAATGGATTCTGTGTGATCTGTATTACAGTGCTGAGTTTGCTGCACTCTGCTGTGCTGTTTTTTCCTGTTTTGTGGTTATTTGTTGGATTTGAAGGCGATCAGCTGAGCACGCACACGTTTGGGCTCCGGTCTGCAGAGCGTGTGTGCTGCTTAGGGGAGTTGGAGCTTTTTGATCATCCGAAAAACCCTAATCAGCTCTTACAGCCTACAGGGAGAGGGTTTCTGAGGTTGTTTGCTTTCTCTGGGTTGTGTAGACCATCAATACATGAGCTGTGAGCTTCTAATGTGGATAAATCATGCAAACTGTTATTGCTTCGTTCTTTTTATTACATGTAATAGAAATAACTGGATCTGAGCTGAGAGACGTTGAGCTGGTTTTGTTCTTCGCCGTCGTCCATCTGTGTTGTGTCATCTGGCTTCTGGTTTTGCTTGGAATAAATGTGATGTTTTTAGGTAACTGCAGATACTTGTGATGAATTTCAACTTTTTAAGCAGTAAAGCTGTCCGAAGGTGATCAGTGTCTGCTGACCAAAGGCAGCTGCGGGCCTAAATCATCAGTGCTAATAGTTAGTGCCGCACAATAGTATGGAGGTTACATTGCTGAGTGTTGAGATTAGGAAATATTAATAGGATATATATCAGTGAACCCTCAGTGTGTGATGATTTGCATTATATTATTTAGATTTACTTTTGTTGGATCATATAAATACCTTGATTTATTAAAACTTGCAGTAGACTTAATTGGGTCAGTACACTTATAGCATTCATAATCCCATTTGCATATTGCGAATCCCATTGGAATCTCATTTACATACCGTACTTTTGTGTGATACTAGTATTGCAAAGGTCAGTATTGCAATAAAGATTAAATAATGATAAATCATGCAGCCCTATAAGTATAGTACTTATTTGTACTAAAGAAAATTCAGAAAAGTCCTGGAAAATAACACTACAAACCTACAAAAATACCCACACATTGTACACATTATTGGAAAAAAAGGAAGTTGTTCTACATCTCGTCTTAAAAATGAGCACTGCTGAGGAAATAAAGGAACTTCTAGCGCAAATCTTTTCCGCAGATCTTCACTAAGACTGACTGCTTACTAAACAAACTTTTCCATTTCATTAAAATCCCGTTCGGAGGATGAGCTGGTTTGTACGGCACTGATAGAGTTCTGACGTTAACTCTTTCCACATAAATATTATCCAGACCATCCCGCTGACTGCCGCTACGACGAGCTCAACATGGGCCCCAATTAAAATCCCCCACCAAAAGGAGCTTCAACCACAGTGTTGGAGAGCATGGAAAACAGTCCAACTCCCTCTATTAAACACACACACACCCACACACACACACACACACACACACTGCACAAGCTTCATCCTTGATTAACTTGTTTTGTTTTAAATTGTCTTTAGGGCCTTACAGATAAAATCAGCGGTAGAGCAGCTGTAGAACAGTAGCAGCTAATCAATGCCTAAAAAAATTACAAAAATGAGGCTATATGAAAAACACATGCTTTGGTGCTGGCAGCCTGCCCTTAATTATTGTATTTTATGCACTAGTGTGGTGTAAAGAGTGAAGACAAAGAGTGAAGTCAGAATTAGGGCTGAACAATTTGGGAAAAATATCTAATTGTGATTTTTCTGACCAATATGGTGACAGCATTTAAATAAATTGTGACTATTTTCTGTAAATTAAGCTCCAGGTCTGTTTACTTTGCCAAAAAGACCAGAAAATCCATTTTTCTGGCCTGAGGCTTGCATAGTGAGCAGCGTGTGCCAGACTGCTAGTTAGTTGTGGTTGTGTTGTAACATACAGAGCACATCAGTGTTCAGTTGGCTCTGATTGTTCAGGCAGTTCACAAGCACATTGTTATATCATATACATCTAAATAAAGGCCTTTAGTCTTGGGGAGTTTTCCTCTGCTGGGTTTTGGAGGTCAAATGCGAGATACATTTGTGAAGTGTATCGTATGTAAGATTAATATGCACATGAACTTGCTGTCTTTTGAATCTTAATGAATGTTTGAATTTCATTTCAAAGCTGAAAATGGCTTTTGCAGCTTAGTTTGTGATTGAACCTAATTATCTTTTAATGTTTTATTTAAATACCAATGTTGACTTTGAACACTGCACTTTGGGTTCAGTGAGTATTAATATGAGAGCTGTAGCTTTAGGCTTGTTTTAAAATATTTATTGTGTTTCTCAGCCTACTTCTTTGAAGAAAGTACTTTTGGTTCTATTTCTTTTGCTATGTTTTGTTTATCAGGGACAGATTCTGCATTTTAAAGTGGCACAAACATTGCAACTGCATGAATCAATAAATCACTGCTGTTGGAACAAAACCTTGTATCTCCATTTTTGTTGTTTTTCAGTTTTTGACATAATTTGAAAATGCCTGTTGCCCTTTATATTGTGGGTAAATTTCATGATGAATGGACCAAAAGAAACAGCCCAAAATGACTTGGAAAAACGTCTGGTTCCATTGACTTACATTAAAATTAAAGTATGTTTTTTCTTTTCCTGTAAAGTTACCATTTTGGAAATGAGGTTTTGTTCCAACAACAGCGAAATGCATCTTTTATATAGTGATAGAAAACACAGTAGCACATGGAACGCTTCAGTTCCACATGTTGCTTCTATGCTTATATTTTGCATTCTTTTCTAATTCAATGCAAAGTTTTTTTATTACACATTATATTATCAAACTCTAAGTTATATTATTTGGTATGTCCCTCTTTTGCTTAAATGACGGTGTGCACTCAAACTGGCATGGACTCCACAGCCTCTGATGAGTAGATCAAATCCATCTGGGAGTCTGAACACAAACTTCAATTGAAGGGACAAAACTAAAAAAAAAAAATCTGACATATTTGTGTAAAGGCCTTAACATGGTCAGTGTCAGAAAATTCCTTAAATTTGAATAAAGACCTAGAAAAGGTGAAGAATCTGGAATATTTCTTCTTGATGTTGCTTGTCATAACTTCATGAACCGTTTAAAAATTCTAAAACTTTCTAGTGTTTATGCCCAGGTTCAAATGAAAAATAAACCCAGATTTTTCATTTATCAGGGACAATAGTCTCCAGAGTACAGTTTGTAAAGTTCCTTGGAACCTGAAGGTTTGATTTTAATCAGAAATGATTTCAGGGACACGACATGTTCAGCCAGAAGGGGAAATTTCTCTGACTGTCAGCCAAACTCCCATGGGTTTTTTCCTAGAGCTGCTTATTCAGATTGGATTCAGCAGACTTTAACTCTACACTGACACTTCTCACCTGATAGTTTGTGCTTAGTAAGTCCATAATTTGTCTCGGTGGAGTGTAGCTGAGGTTAGACATCACTTGTTAGATAAATCACACACTTTTCCCTTTATTCATTAATTCAACTGACTTTTTTTCCATGCAAAATGTATTGTTTTGTTTTATGTACGGGAAATGATAATCATTTCTCCATCACAGACAATCAGAAATATTAATCATTGCTGACTAGCATACAGGGCTTCATATAAAGAGTCACATTCCTTGTTTATTAGATTTAACTTCAGTAAGTGCTTGGGTTGATTCCAGCGCCACGTCTCATTCCGAATGCACTGCA